GCCAAGGTTGAGAAACACTGCTGCAGGTTCTGCAGGCCTGAAGTCAACTCCACTGATATAGATAACACAGCCTTGTTTAGAATGACAGGCTACATAGCACAGGGAGAAAGCAGGGGATTCTTAACTGAATCCACAAGTTGGATCCCATCTTTCTCCCATAGAGACTAATGTATGACCTTTTCTTTTTGGTATTTTAAAAACAATAGTTATTTTTTAAAATAGAAAATAGTTATTTTCTGTTATTATAGAAGATGGTAGAGTTGTCTGTCTATAATTAGGGGCCTTTACTAAGTAACTAAAAAGGAAAAAATTAGAGTGTGCATAGATGCTCTCGGTAGGTATGCACGTAGGCGTCCGGGGGGCAGGAGACATGGGGGCAAGTATCAAAACACGATTTGCAACATTACATTGTAAATCACTTAACTTTCATATTTAAATTGAGATCCTACTGTGAAAGGCCACCGTTTGCATCATACTGTTGCTGTGCATGTTTCATCCTTTGGTTTGTACTGGAGTCTGGACATCAGTGAGTATACACTAATATACACTAATATTAACTTGCATCAGAACTAATATATATATTTATATTTTGAACTCTGCCCTGTAGTAATTTAACTGTGCTTATCCCTGAACATTTCATGGTGCTGACAATACCCCATGGCAATATGTTGCAAACCCCCAGCCATTTTTGAAAGCCAACTTTTTATAGTTCCCTTCATTTTAGGGAAGGACAGCTCTAGCATGTTTTTCCTGTGCTTGTGGGCACTTTTTTCTGTTGGAGAACACTGATGGAATAGCATATCCACAGCATCCTATCAGGAGAAATTCTTTTGCAAATTAAAATACCTGGGTTGTAAATATATGTTTTGGTGGGTGGAGAGGGCCAATGTCAGAAACCTTTCTGTTTTTTTTTTTTCCATTTGTTTTTAATGAAGGAAAGCCAAAGACACGGTTTGTCATTTCACATAGTGCTGATAGCTGGGGTGGGACAGTAAACTCTGCTATTGGATAGTCTGAAGTGGAGAGAATAAACATCGATTTGCTGGCAATGTCTGCTTTCAGCTATTGGGTAGCTTGGACTGAGTAATGGTTGGCCAAAGATGCTGTCAGTGAGCTCCAGACTCACAAGCATCTAGAGAAGCAGAGTACACATTTGCTTGGCAACTGGACAAAGTGGGGAAAGTGTAGGTCTCCGTTTAATTGCATTGGAAGTTATTCACAGATACAGTGGATGACAGAGTGGCTGTGAAATCATACACATACACTTCCGAAGATCATTCACAATTTTGTTTTTTTTATTCTGAAACTTGAAGCAATCTGAAAAGTATTTTAGTACTTCATATTATATATTAGTATCAACATTGCATTCCATGCAAACAATCCATACTAAATGCTTTGCCTGAAGCTTTCCTACCCCAACTTTCCCAGAACTGAAATATGCTATAAATTCAAGTATGTAGAAAGAGATTAGGCCTTGTGTAGCTATGAAATAATATTAACTGAAAGGATTTTTTATATACATAGGAAGTTGCTGCAAGGACTCTCTATAGATCAGATATGCTCAACACATCTAAATTTGGCAATTTCCATGTACATGACTACTAGCTACCTATATACTTCCAAGAGATACATGGCCTGGCCTTGCTAACCCATGATGTAATACAGTGTACTAACTAAGCCACAACTGGCTGGGTTTGTATAACATACTAAGCTACAAATTATGATTTGTAGGTCACTATAGCTGGGTTCACACAACATGCTAAGCAAACAATGACTTGTGGTTTACATGATGTGTGAAACCAGTCCCAGAGTAAGTGAAGACTTTGGCCAATATTATGATTCCTACATTCACATGTTGTACTAAACCAAAATACACATTTGTGGCTTAGCACACTGTGAATCCAGACACTTCGTAATTTGTAAATCATAGTTTATGGCTTAGCATTGTATGATTTAATGGTTAAACAAATTATGGATTACTGTGATGTTTTAGCAAAGGACACACAGTACTTGATTTTACATTTTGAACTTAGTAACAGAAATTGCCCCCCAAACAGGTTTATAAAATTTCCACGTAAAGCAGTATGTAGTGGGGTTAAAGAACAGTGCTTTAAGTTCTTTTTGTTTTTAATCACATTCTTTTGATTGTGAGACATTTGTTCCTAAAATGGTTGGTGTACAATTATTCAGGCCTGTGTTCGCTCTTCCTAATGGATCTCTTCTTCACAGCAGCACCATAACAGTTGTGATTAAATAACAACATACACTCTCTTTATAAAAATTTACCAAGATGGGAAGTTGGGATAGGTTAAATCATACTTGTTTTGTGGTTGTTGCTGCTTTACTCTAACCTTTTTATTTTAAAAACTGTTCAGCAAAGATAGATAAAACGCAGGTAATAGCTCCAATTCCATTGTAGCACTTTGTGTAACTTTGCATGGCTGTGCATTCATTTACAATCAGAAAGCTTTCTCTTGAGGAAACCCTTTGGACAGAGAAGCTCAGTGCCCCATCTTCAACTAAGGAAGCATGACTGTGGTACACATTTGTTTTCAAGATGTGCAACCTCTCCGTGCAACTTGGGATGGTATAAAGTATTTAGTATTTCTAGGCTGAAGTACATTATCTTTAATGTATGGCACTCGCCGACAAATAACTCTGGCTGAGTTTCTGGTAGTCTTTAATTAAACCTATAATGGATTAGCCACATGCTGTTCCTGCCTCCTCTCTTTCCCCTGCACGCAGCAGCCAATATTCAAAGCACGAATGGGAAATTCAAACTGTGATGAAGGTCACATCCCCATGAAATATTTACCAAAATAAAGGGAGGAGATGTGAGTTGTCTGCTAGCTTGTATTACAGTAATGTAAATAGATAATGTTTCATATTTATGCTCCATAACTTTGGTTGCAATCTGCATTAATATGTTGATGGGAGTGGCAGAAGCTGACATGGGATGGCATGGGGGGACAAAGAGTCTAGGATTGGTAACTAATGTTATGTTCGATCCCCTAAATCTTATTTTAGAAGTAAAACAAAGCAGGATGTGGTAGGACTGATCGGACTACTGAAAGATACCAAAATGGTATAGAATACTTGTTTGCAAATCTGCTGCCATGGCAGGGGGAAAAATCAGAACCTTTCTGGGCTGAAAGATGAGAGTTAAAAATGCCTCAGCCAATCAGGGCTCCTCTGCCATCCAGCAAGGAATGCCTCTGCTGACCTGCTTGGTTTTGCATCAAAAACAAAGCAAGACCTTTTGCATCCGTACAAAAGAATGACATACAGGAATGTCATGTGTTTATGGTGTTGACAAGCCACTGGGCTGCTTATTCTGCTATATGGTGGTGGTCCTTTTACCCCAATCCTGACATTCATCCATCTTATTGGGTGGGAGATGGGACAAAGCAGGTTGCCCTGCCAATGGCTGTACGTGTATAGAATGCCAGTGTGAGACAAAATAGTGTTGTTTGTGCAGTAACGTTCACTACTTGCAAATGGGAATTCCCTCCTGGGCAAATATCTTGGGACGGTAACAAAGAAGCCAGGACTTTGTCCAATGGTAACCCACCAGCACCAGCGCCTTATTTTGCAATACAGTCAATCTGATCCATGTTCTGAGTTGGACCCCCATCCGGCCGCAGGGTGTTTCAGAATGCATAAGATCACTCATGGAATCGCAAATTGTTCAAGTGAGAAATAGTTTGTAGTATTCCAAAGATCTAGTCTATCCTTTTAGAGATACAGTTACTGCCTTATGTAAGGGAAGATAGGGAAACTGAGAAACAGCAAAATCTAGAGAATCACAACATTTCCAAAACGTTTAAAAAAATTAAATATCCACGATTTAAAATGAGCCTGGAAATGATCATATTTCCAGTCCCGATTCCTACCTTCAGTGTCATTATTAATTGGATCAGAAATTCAGTTAGGAGAGAAATGAATAAGAAATGGGGACATAAAATAATGAATTTCTAGTCATAAATTTTGCAAATTTATGAACAGAAAGTAATATTCCTTTCATGAAAATAAACATGTTGCTTCCTGTTGAGAAAATCTCCCACTTTCTTCTGCTACAGAAATCAGTGACCAGATTTGGCTTTTAAGCCTTTAGGAAGGACACAAAAAGAGAGCTAAATTACAGAACCGATTGTGAGGTGGGTTGAACAATTCATAGCAGAAATCATATGAGTCTGCTTGGTGCAGAGTTGATACATATTTTATCTTCTGACTGGTTCAGTGTCAAGTAGAGAAGATTACTGTCAGTGGCAATACCTCTAATTTTTTTCCCCTTTTTTAGCTTGAATGTCTGCCACCATGACATATAAATATGAAGGCTGCATTTCAGGCCCAGCCCAAACATAGGTGCTTCTTTCAATAACTATGGTGACAAGGCTGAGGTGTTCGAAGAGTTCAAGTCAGACCAGCTGTTCCATGATGCTGTTCCATGAATTAAAAAACTTTCATATTTTTCAAGGAAAGTTTAGCAGGAAAACGTCAATGTTAGCTAGAAGGCTGTATTTTTCTCTTTCCTAACCTTGCATTTGAAGGAGGAGGAAAACAGTTTCACATATTATTTTGGCACTGTAAATTTATGGTTAGAGTGCCTACAAAAAGTGAGTTGGGCAGAGGATGTTTCCTGTAGTCCATAACATCTATGGATGGCTACACCTGATAAAACCTATGCAAGATAGTTAGGTGCTATCACTTCTACAATGAAGTCATGACTTTTCTTCATGATCCACCCCGAGGCCTATGCCAAATCTGCCTGCTTCTTCCATACTTTCAGGCCCTAATTTATCCATTACAATCCTCCCTTGGGGCTTCTTTTTAATTTTGCTTTGTTTCCCCCCTGCCCCATTCAACTGTGTCCATCACAAAACAAAAGAGTAGATGGGAGACACTTGATGTTTTAAAGGGATAGGAGCAATAAAAGAGGTATACTCTTTAGCACTGATCTGCTTCAACAAAACTGTCCTTTTCCTGGCCAGATGGTTCTACTTCAGTGTAAGTTGAGCGGTTTCTGAACTTCATGGTAGGCCACTGATGTGGTCTTCGCTGTGGTGCAAAAAGAGAGAGGGAAGTTTCAACTTGAGAAAAGGAAAGTTTTTTTTTAAAAAAAAGACCCCCAAACTTCTCCCCCAAATCCAGGAAAGTCAGTCTTTTTTTTCATCATGGCTTACTAATTGCAATTCTCACCCTCCTAATATTAAATACTGTACTACTCTTCTAAAAAATGTTAGGAACTATTCCTTCTCCAATGTTACCTTTACTACAACTCTGGGTGGTAGATCAGGCTAAGACTAGCCTAAGGTCTCCTAGCAAACTTCATCTGAACCTGCATCTTCCCTGATCCTAACTGAATACTCTAGCCCAGTGTTTCTCAACCTTGGCGATTTGAAAATATGTGGACTTCAACTCCCAGAATTCCCCAGTCAGCATAGCTGGCTGGGGAATTCTAGGAGTTGAAGTCTGCACACCTTCAAGTTGCCAAGGTTGAGAACCTTGTTCTAGCCATTGTACAACACTAGATCTTAACTAAATCGGTGATGCTGTCAGGTTGAGGAAAGCTTGGACAAGATGCTTTCTGCAATCACTGACATACTCCTGGTCATTTTATTCTCTAGTTTTGCTTCCTTCCAATTCTTTCTTTTTTCCAGATTCTTTTTTCCTCCTTTTCTTTAACTTTTGAAAGAAACTCAAAGTACTGTTGCTTTTCCCTCCTTTATCATTTCTCCACAAACCTCTAAGGGAGGGAGAAGGAAGGGCTAAAATAGGTCCTGTTTTCATTTAAAACTGTATGACATCAAATGTGTACACCATATACCTGACCTAATGATCCAAAGTACAAAACTGTTATTGGCCTGAAGCCATAGTGGGCTTCGTGCAGCAAATTTAAGTAGATGGGACCAGAATACAAAGTAGAGCCTCTTGGAGGCCAGTTTAAGTGATAAACCCTTTGCAATCCTTGGCATTCATTTTGCCCTTAAAATTCCCAACCCTGCAAAATGAAAAAAAAAAAAGAGGGTTTTTTTTAATCCTGTCCACTCTGGAGGGATTCTGGGGGCCACAAAGGGGGTGCTAATAGATTGCAGATATCCTGTGGGATGCATTTCTTTTATTCCTGCTCTAAACTCTTTCATAGTCTTAACAAGTCCAGCTTTTTAAAAAGACAAAGTATAAACAAGGGAGTTCTCTTAAGCTCACCTTGATGAAGAACAAGGCAGCACTGGAAGTAGGATTACTGGTGATGTAGATGCCAGCAAGAATAATAGCAGCAATCAGAAGAACTGCCAGGAAGATTCCAACAATTGTTCCTGTATGGATTTGGGATCCCCCTTTTTTTGTAGGGAGGCCATCTCTCAAACCTTCTGGGAAGATTATTATAAGGGATGGGAAAAGAGACAGAATGAAGCATAATTCAATTCATAATTCACTTCTCAGTGGTGGCCCCCACTCTTTGGAATATCTTCTCCTCTCCCCTTCCGTGAAGTACAGAGGGCTCCAACTCTGCTTATTTTTCACAAACAAGTTAAAGCTATTCTGTTTGAATGACCTTTTGGCCTGATATTGTTCATGGGCACTTTCTTTATCTACTCTGATTTATGTTCTCTTTTTGTTTGTATTTAATGTTTTATCTTATTGTTACTTGCCTAGAGTCTGTTAGGACTGGCACAGGATATGAATACCGGAAATCAATAAATCAATATACAGTTGGTGGAGTTTCTACATGTGCAAAGTGAAGACTAAGCAAACACATTATGGTTAGCATGATGTATGAGCCCAACCACTGACTGACAATAGCTCCTCAGGGTTTTAGGCAAGATTTTGTTCCACTGCTACCTGGAGGAGATGCCAGGGATTGAAAGGGGTGTGGTTGAGATACTATTGCCCTTCCATCAAGATGTGGCTCCAGAGTATGTGGAACTGAACTCTCGATCTTGTGTAGTGATCCACTTGCTGTCTTAGGTGTAGGACTAGAATCTGGGAGCCCCAGGTTTAAGTACACCCTTAGAAATGTACGCTCATTGGCTGACTTTGGAGCATCACTATCTCTTAGCCCAATGAATCTTGCAAGCTTATGATTGTGGGGAAAATTTGAGCTTAAGTTCCTGGAGGAAAGGTGGGATATGAATTTAACAAACAAATACATAAATTCCAGTACTGTATATTAATAGAGGTTTTGCATGCATTCAGCTAACGTAATGCAACAATGAAATTCGAGGGATGTAATTATTGCTCTGCAGAAGCTGTGCTCCCAGAAAACTGCCTGTGCAGCATGCAGGGGTTCACGGCAAAGAAATTGTTATGGGAAACGTTTTCTGACTGTAGGAAGTTTGCAAGGCCTATTTTTAAATATAAACATATTTCTGTGGATATACATCCAGCTTTCATGGAATAAAGACAGAAATAGAACAGAAGAGAAAAAGGAAGAAGGAAAAGGAGGCAATAGGTAAGTGGGAAAAATATCAAAATCTACTAACAAAATAATATGTTATTTCTTCCCACTCCTTAAAACAATCGCACGAAAACGCAGCTGGCTAGCAGGACAAACGACATAGCGTAAGCTGCAGCAAGGCATCAGAAATGGTGGTGATAAAACTAGGGATAAAGGAGTAGAAGCAAAAACCACAATAGAAGAATGGACCCTATGGCGCTGTTTGCAGCATTAACTATTGGTGAAATAAAAAGGACGAAGTGCAACTTTCAGAGCGTTTGGAAGGGTTAACGCCATATTGTAATAAGCTAAGGAGGAGGTTGCCAAGGCCCTGAAGGACAGCTGCCAAATCCTTTCTAGAAGAAAGCCTCTGTCCTCTCATCAACTGCTCTTAGCTACTGCCACCATCTGGTCACTGAAGGTCATAAGATAAAGCATCAATCAGGCAAAGGGTCTGTATTGGGTAGGGTGAGATGATTGTCTCTTGTCAGGTGATTTTGGTGTCATAAAAGAGCAGAAAAATATTACTTATGCAATTTATGATTGTTTGACTTTTTAAAAACTTCAGTAGATAGGCAGCAGTTTAATTAGCTTTGGGTGCAATGTACTTTGATTTGAGCAGGGAAACGGGGCATGGGGTACTTCTACCACAGATTAACAAAATGTATTGCGGTTACTTCCCTCCTTCACAACAGCATCACAGAGGACATCTCCTTTATTAAGGGTTCCCCAGCACCAGTGGAAAGAGTAACTTGAGAGCAGTGCGGGTTATGCCAAACTCCTAGGACATTTTTCTCCATCCAGGTCATCTCCAGATCTGTTGGACTATGTCTCCAATGGCCATGCTGGCTGGGGATCATGGGAACTCTAAACAATGTGTCCGGAGAGTGCCAGATTCAACAAATCTGTCCCAGGACAGATATATTTTTCACAGACTTTGGCCATAAGAAGGCACTTACCTTCTCCTGGGTTCTGGTTCAACTTTGTGTCATCTATAAGAATGAAACAAAACCAAAAAAGTGGAAGTGAACTTACATAGCAAACTCTTCTTGAGAGTTTAGATCCCTGTATGCTGCCTGCTAATAATCCTTCCAGCAGAAAATCCAGAAGTGTTATGGTTTAAATTAAGTGTCCACTTAATTAGTGGGGCCTTGTGTTCCTTTTAAGATGATTCAGCTAAGTCACTGAATTGCTACTGAATTAGTCCACGCTTTAAATAGTGCACAGTGGAAGATACAATAGGAGAACTCTGTTGTGGCTCAACTCCCAAATTTTCAAGGTAGAATGGCCAGGCCATTGATGATATCTTGTTGTAGGGTACTAGAGATCCTGAGCAGGGCTACTGGAAGGAGCAGGAACCATACGTCCTTCTTTCTCTCAGTTATCTTTTCCCCACGAAACAAAAGCAGCTGGAAAAGCAGGTGGGATTAACCATTGCTCCACAGAATACTCTTCTGCAGTCAAGGGACCTATATGGGTTACAGTTACCCCTGCTGTGTTTTATGACATTTCCCAATTATGCATTTGTTTTGGAAAGGAAACAAAAGCATGGATTTGCTTGTTTTTCCACAATGCTTATCGTTAAATGGCCACCTGAGTATTTTTTAAAATAGAATAAATAAATGCAGAAGGAGTTGCCCATAATGGCTGAACCAAAATGGAACTGAACTGAACCAAGCTTAGGGTGGCTTTGGTGGTGAACCTAGTTTGAATTCTTATTCAAGATTTGTGGAATAATAATAAAACGAGATGTACCACTGAGAATGTGCAAAGCTTTTCCCCAGTGCACTCTTTTCAACCTATTGCACTACGGTTCCCATCGTGCCCAGCCAGCATCATCAATAATGTATTGGACTGCAGCTCTCATAATATCTACCCAGCATGGTCTCTGGCTTCAAATGAATTCCTGAGGTCTTTCCAATTCCACATTTTGTTTCTTCTACAAATAAAATCTTGGCACAGCTTTCTGAACATCTTTGTCCACACCGACATATACACACAGACATACACATATATAAGCCTGCGTTGTGATAAAATAGATATAAGCTTTGTGTACGTGTATATAGATGTGTGTTAGGCATAAAAAGTGTGTCTGGACACATACATTAAACACTTTTTCTTCCCTGCCAAGGTTAAAAAATGAACTGAGAAAAATCATTTGATTTTTTCAAAGTCAGTTCTATCTCAGAAGAATTTGTCCTCTCTTTCCTTCACTGCTGAAGGGCAAGTACTAATGTTCTTTTCAGTTTATTTTAATTAGCAAATGAAGTAGGCACTATTAAGGAGCAAAATTAAACCGGTACCTGCCACTAATCTCAGAGGAGAACACAGTTTGATGCTAACTTAGGCACATTACACACATAATCCTGAGGAATAGGACAGTGCTTTTGAAAAATGGGGAAAACTAAGCTAGTTTGGAAAGTGCAGTTGGGATCTGTGACAAAATATTGCACAGTCGAGTGCCCTAACTGACCTTGCAGGGGGGTTGTGTAAAAAAAATCAAGATGGCAGCCACAACCATGCAATCTAGCCCCGCCTCCTTTTTATGTGAAGCACATTAAAAAGGGGTGGTGATAAGATCACATGGTTGTGGCTGCCATCTTGATTTTTTTTACACAACCCCCCTGCAAGGTCAGTTAGGGCACTCGACTGTGCAATATTTTGTCACAGATCCCAACTGCACTTTCCAAACTAGCTTAGTTTTCCCCATTTTTCAAAAGCACTGTCCTATTCCTCAGGATTATGTGTGTAATGTGCCTAAGTTAGCATCAAACTGTGTTCTCCTCTGAGATTAGTGGCAGGGACCGGCTTTTTTTTTTTCCTCCCTTCCCCGTTGACACTTTTGTATGCCTTTGCTGGTTTCTGAAAGCT